CCCCAGGGTGGGCGGGTGCCCCCCCCCCCGACCCTGGTTCTTCACCATTGGGGGGGGCCCTCTCCTCAGGGATTGGGTGGCTGGAGCCACCCGGACCCCGCCCTACCGAGGTGGGGGAGGGGCAGGACCCCACCCCCAAGACCTACCTGGCAGGAGTCGGTGCCCCCCGAGCTGACGCCGGCGCAGAGCATGTTCTTGGTGATGCCTTTGGGGTAGAGCTTGGCGCACTCCTCGTTGGGAATGGTGTAGACCACGCCGCACTGGAGAACATCGGGGAAGTACCCTGGGGAGAGCGGGGCGTGGTCAAGGTGGTGGTGGGGTGGGGCTGGCACCCACCTCAGGCCAGGGGTAGGGTGCTAGGGGTGCAATGGAAACAGCAGGGACCTCCTCCCTCCTAGGGGGAGGTGCCGGCCCGCCATGGAAAATGATGGCCTCAAGAAGAAGGATGAGGGGTCACCATGGTTTGGAGGTTCTTGTGGTCATGGCATGGAGCTGGTGGAGAAGAGAAACCTTCACAGCCATCCTGTGGAGCATTGATGGCCCCAGGATTCCACCTGGCGGAGATGGCCCCAAGACACTGGGATGTCCCCAAGATGCCAAAATGTCCCCAAGATATTGAGATGTCCTCAAGATGCCAAGATGTCCCCGAGACCCTGAGAAGTCCCCAAGATGCTGAGATGACCCCAAGACCCTGAGATGTCCTCAAGTCATTGAGACATCTCCATGATGCTGAGATGTCCCCAGAACCCTGAGATGTCCCCAAGACCCTGAGAAGTCCCCAAGACGCTGAGGTGTCCCCAAGACCCTGAGAAGTCCCCAAGATGCTGAGATGCCCTCAGGATATTGAGATGTCCCTGAGACGTGGAGATGTCCCCAAGATGCTGAGATGCCCCCCACACACTGAGAAGTCCCCAAGATGCTGAGATGCCCTCAGGATATTGAGATGTCCCTGAGACGTGGAGATGTCCCCAAGATGCTGAGATGCCCCCCACACACTGAGAAGTCCCCAAGATGCTAAGGTGTCCCCAAGACCCTGAGATGTCCCCAAGATGCTGATGTGTCCCCAAGACCCTGAGATGCCCTCGGGATATTGAGAAGTCCCCAAGATGTGGAGATGCCCTCAGGATATTGAAATGTCCCCAAGACACCCAGATGTCCCCAAGATGCTGAGATATCCCCAAGTCACTGAGATGTCCCCAGGATGCCGAGATGTCCCCAAGACCCTGAGATGTTCCCAAGACACCGAGATGTCCCCAAGACCCTGAGACACCCCAAAGATATTGAGATGTCCCCAAGGTGCCAAGATGTCCCCAAGATGTCCCCAAGACCCTGAGATGTCCCCAAGGTGACAAGATGTCCCCAGGTCCCCTGTGGTGGGCTGTCCCCATCCCACCTACTCCAAGAAGATCTTTCCACCTACCTTCAGGGCTGCTGGTGCTCCCCCAGCCTGAGACAATGCACTCGCTGTTGGGGGGGGGACAATTCTTGGGGAGGTCCACGGGATGGACCACGTCGGTGAAACGCACGGGCTTCTGGAGCTTCAGGAGCATGATGTCACTGTCATGGCTGGTGGGGTTGTAGTTGGGGTGGATGAAGGCTTTGGCCGAGTTGATGCACTGCTCCGTCCCTTCTTTGGTCTTCAAGCTGTGGTCGCCCATGCGGATGGGGATGGAGCTGGGCAACGGGGAAGGTGGAGAAAGGACCATGGTGAGGTTCTCTGGTGGCCTTGGCATGGGGCAGGGAAGGTCCACGGGGGGGGAGATTGGGCAGGGGAGGGTCAAAAGTTTCTTCTCCTATCGTTAAGGTCATTGACCAGATGGGGAAACTGAGGCTCGGAGGCCAAAGTCACCCAGGAGGTCAACCAGAGAGTTGGCCAAGTCAACCCAAGTCAACTGGAGAGTTGGCCAAGTCAAGTCAACTGGAGAGTTAGTCAAGTCAACCCAAGTCAACCCAAGTCCACCGGAGAGTTGGCCAAGTCAATCCAAGTCAACCTAAGTCAACCAGAGAGTTGGCCGAGTCAACCCAAGTCAACCAGAGAGTTGGCCGAGTCAACCCAAGTCAACCCAAGTCAACCACAGAGTTGGCCAAGTCCACCCAAGTCAACCCAAGTCAACCCAAGTCCACCAGAGAGTTGGCCAAGTCAACCGACTCAAGTTGAGGAAGAACCAGCTCCTCAAACTGGTTTGGGCCCCTTCCACCCAGCCTGGTCTGGTCAACAGAACTGGTGGAAACTGGGAGAGGAGGAGACCCCAGCATTGGTCACCAAACTGGGACAGTTCAGGTCCTTCTTGGTCAACCTCCTCATGTGGCCAGTGGGTCATACTGGGAGCCCAACTGGGTGGTTGTGGTGGCCAACCCCATGGGAATGGTCATGCTGGGAGCCCAACTGGTGGCCAGCCCCATGGGAATGGTCATGCTGGGAGCCCAACTGGGTGGTTGTGGTGGCCAACCCCATGGGATGGGCATGCTGGGAGTCCAACTGGTGGCCAACCCCATGGGAATGGTCATACTGGGAGCCCAACTGGTGGCCAGCCCCATGGATATGGTCATGCTGGGAGCCCAACTGGTGGCCAACCCCATGGGAATGGTCATGCTGGGAGCCCAACTGGGTGGTGGTGGTGGCCAACCCCATGGGATGGTCATGCTGGGAGCCCAACTGGATGTTCACCCTGGGCCATGGTGGTGGCTTCCTCTCTGCCCACCAGTTAGCCACCCTGTCCCAACTGGTTGACCAACCAGCTCCCAGAAGGCCATGGGGTGGGGAGGACAACCCGCGATGACCTCACAATGCCCCCCCTCCCC